GACATTGAGAATAGGAAATATCCCAGAGGGACACCTGCTCAGGTTCAGTATCATTGAAATACTCCTACATTTTTTTAAATTTATTTATTTATCTTTAGAGGGGAAGGGAAGGAGAAAGGGAGAGAAACATCAATGTATGGTTGCCCTTTGCGCATCCCCTGCTGGGAACTGGCCTGCAGGGAACTGGCCTGCAACCCAGGCATGTGCCCTGACTGGGAATCGAACCTCGATTGTCTGGTTCGCAGGCCCGAGCTCAATCCACTGACTTACACCAGCCAGGGCCTCCTACATTTAACTGAATTTAATTTCTAAATTGCCTACAGCAGGATTGCTCCAGAGAGGTCCAGATGTGACTACAACAATGGGTTTATAAGGGCCTCTGTTGTCATGGTAAGTTTTTGGTATTGTTCTATTTCCCTAGTCAATAAGAAATGTTGTGCATAAGTGTCCAGGAGACATTTTGATTTTCATTCCTGGTTCATTTGTAGATTCTATAAATGTGTTATGAATTCATACTATAAACCTACCAGTCACTGTCTGGGTAACTGAGCTCATGGCAGTACATGAGAGACAAACTGGACATAATTGCTGATGTCCAAGTATATATTTAACAACAAATTTTTAAAAGGAACTTCAGGATGCCCTAAGATTTTCAATACTAGCCAAAATTTTTATCTCAATGTGCTCCTGAAAAATGTTTCTGAACCTCTTTGTATTTTCACAACTCTCCTCTTTTTCTTAAAACACACATTAAATTCTTCAGGCAATTCTTTAATTCGAGATCAGAAAAAATTCAGGAACTGAACCTTATTCATGCTGGTCCAACCATACTCACTGGTCACCTGGATGATGCACTTGTTTTCACACTGAACTCCCTGCTTTCAGCCAAGCAGCCTCAAAAATCATAGCTAATGTGAAAGCTAAATAATAGTAGTACCATTTTTCCATGTTCTAAGTATTTTTTGACTTGGCTAATCATCAAAGTAAAAGAGACAGATTGGCAGAAGGAAATAACAGCATTTAATATATGGTCATGGAGAATTCACATTAAACATTAAAATTCCAATATATGTGAGGCAACGTTTGATATAGAAAACATTTTGGACAAAGGAGAAAAAGGGGGGGAAGGGTGTCTTCTATTATTTCACAAGTGACAATGAGTAGTTGAGTACAGGTAGTTGAGAAGAGAAGATCCTACAAGGCAAGATTATTTTTCTGGGAAACAAAGAAATAGTGAGACACAGCATGTATCTAGGCAAAAAGATGGCTTCCTAAAGACCTTTCATTGACCATGGCACCCTCACTTCACCACAGATGCTCCAGTGGCTCCTCTTGCAAAAGATAGGACAGACCCTCACTCATATTATTCAGCTTCATTCTGAGCCTCCAAAATAAACTCTCCTGCATGGCACCTTTAAAACCCCTACAAACCATACAATGCCTAACACCCCCTCACCTCCCAGGCTTTACAATTTCTCCTCTGACTCTCATCAGACTCCAGGCCTCCATGACTTCCCTCTGTGTTTACCTGTGCTCACACAAAATCCACCTGTGGACAGATTTCCAAGGATCTCACCCAAATACACCCAAGGCCAGAGGCAGCATGAAAGGAATAGAAATAGAGAAGAGATGTATTTTCCATTTGCTAATTCTGGTGGCAGGATTTGAGGACAGGCATGTGGAATTTGTAAAAGACAATAAAAAAACCCACAAAGAATGAAGACTGTGATGTCTGCCCTGAGCTGCACGTCAAAGAGGGCCTGAGAGAGGCTCATTCAGTACATGCCTGTGGGTGGCTGATGTAACAGAGAGCTGCATGTTCACCTGAGTAGTTGAGATTAATGGCAGAATATCATTTACTGCTTTAGTCTCTGTGATCTCATTTCTTGAAGACCTATGTGGAATGAGAACACTGTTGATGCTAAGGGCACTGTAGAAATGTGCCCTTTCATGCTGGCAAGTCCTCATGGATTCTGAGGCAAGGCCACTTTGGCTCAACCTAGATCTCCAGAAGAATCTGGGAAGTCAGGTCATCTCCTGCTGTGAACATCAAGTCAGAAGACAGGGAGACAATTGCAAATCTTTTTTTTAATAACAAGATAATGAAAACATTAGAAGATTTGAAAATATGTTAAGGATTTGCACATTGAGTGAGATGTCATGATCAGCTAGTACAAGGAGGTTATATCAAAAAGAAACTTGCATAAAACCAGTTAAAAATAAAGGTAAGACTTTATTAAAGACAATGCAATAATGCAGTGAGAGAGAACTCAACACCCAATGATACAAAGGCTAGAAGGTTTTACAACAGAAGGAACCATGGGAATGTGTGTTTGCTAATTGCCTTTAGACAAAGAGAAGCAAAACTTGGCATAAAACCTTAACAGGAGGTCCTTTAATGTTTTGGCTGCAAAATTCCCCAACTAAGATAGGTTTCTGCTCTTCCTCAGAGACTGGCACACCAGGAAGGTTAAACATCAAACTAATGGGCCTGGTGTTTGTGGTAGATACTCTTTGGTTCTTAACACTGGTAAGAAGATTCCAAAATCACTTAGGTATGCTTCAAAAGACAAGATAAAAATTGGCAATAAGCAAATTGCAATGACATTTTTAGTGAAAGTGTTTTAAAAAGACAGATTTCAGAGGCTCGCATTCAAAAAGAACCTTTGTTAAGATTCTGAACTCTGAGGGAACATTAGAGCCTCTAAGTCATAACACAAATGCCATCTTCTCAGTGGAGGGTCCCACAAGTAAATCTCTTTCAGCCAAGAGCCAGTTGACATCTTTTTTAGTTCCTGCAATTTATAAACAGGTGTCAGTTTCCAGAAATGCAAGCACAGGGGCAAAATAGCTGAGAGTCCTTGAACAGAGCCAGGATTGCATCTCCCAGGATGTTGTACTTTCACATATCCCTGCAGTCACCTTATATTCTCTTTTTTGTTATTGTTCAAATATCATTCAAGTGAACAAGGGTATTCTATATTCTACAACATGGCTTCCATAAGTTGCATTGTCCTGATCAGTTACAGAAGTGAGTAGGAACTGAAATTCACCACATGGTTTGCTCTGATGCAGGTTATTCTATAAAACATAACATGGGAGTTTTAACAGCCTCTTGAATTTAGGAAGCTTCACCCTCACACCTCACTTGCAGTAACCCTAGTTTTGGGTGATACCTTGTTCTCCAAATAATATCAATTTAAACACCAGGTCAAAATTAGCTTCATAAAGGGTGAGTTTATTTTTTATTCTGTGGGCCTTAGTCTGAGCTAGGACATTTGAACCAAAGCTTTGTTAGAATTACAAATGGTTCCAATTATATTCTACTAATGAAAGGGACAAAGTCATGCTAAATTTATGCAAATAAACCTACTGCCATGTAAATAAGAATACTGAAGAAGATGTTAGAATTTAGAGAAAGAAGTGAAACAGAGAGAAAGAGATGAGTGTTACTACCCACATAGGTGTCTTTTAGCTTCTTCTTCTTGTTCACAAAGTGTCCAGGTGCTCTCCACAGGACCCCTGGAAAATGACAGAACTTGAAGTTCTATAAGCTCATCATATGCTCCCACTGGTCATCACAGGACAACTTCCCATCCTCTGAGTGACACGGTGTCTCCTGCACTCTCTGCTAACTGGCTTTACAGAAAAGTAAAACTTTTCATAAAATTTCATAGGATGTCTTTTTACCTCATGGTTCTAAAGGTCATCACCCTGGGACATATGAGGGTTACATTTTAATTGATGGGCACAGACCCTTGTGACAGACACTTTCAGAACCATACACTAAGAAGAGGACATTAAGGAGACTCTTGTGTATTTCAAATGGACAAAAATGATCTTCAAGTACAAACTGCAATTATATTATGCAGAAAATTCTCTAAAAATATGAAGGTCAGAGGCTTGTAATCAGGAAGCCACTGTCTAAAGGTCTCTGGGCCATAAAAAACTGCCTTCTGCACAGTGGAGGGAAAAACAATTAAATCTCTTATAGCCAAGACTCAGTTTGCATCTACATCAATCCCTGCAATTTATAAACAGGTGCAAAGTACCTGAGGCTCCCTGAACAGAGCCAGGATTTTATCTCCCAGAAAGCTGTGCTTCTGGAGATACCCACTCAGAAATTATATTTTTCTTTACCATCATCTTTACTTTCACCATATGTAATCACTTAGAAAGAACTATATTCTCGATCCTACAACATGGCTGGTGTAATCTGATTTAGCCTGATTAGTTACCTAAGTGCAGAGGAACTGACATTCATCACATAGTTTGCTCTAACAAAGGTTTTGAAATAAAACATAAGATGGGAATTTTAATAGCCTCTTGAGCTTAAAAAGCCTCACCCACACACTTCACCTGCAGTCTCTCTAGTTTTGGGTTGTGTCCTCTTCTCCAAGAGATGCCAAAACGTAGATGAGATCCAACTTAAGTCTATAAGGTATGAGGGTATTTCTAATTCTGAGGCCATCAGTTTTAACTAGGACATTTGAGCTAAAACCTTGATTTTGTTACTAAAGTTTCCAATTATATCTTAATAACAAAAGAATGTCCTGAACTCATACTAACAATTTTGTTAATATATAAGTAAGAATACTAAAGAGAATTTAGAAATCTTTTGAAAGACGTCAAAGAGAAAGACTGAGAGCGGTGTTGCTACTCACATGGGTGTCCCCTTGTCCATCCCCATTGTCTACAACAGTGTACTGGTGCCTCCACATGTTTGCATGGAGAAGAGACAGAGCCCAGATTCTCTAAGCACTTCACCTGATTTCACTGGTTATTACATGACCACTGGTCATCCTCTGAGGGACATAATGTCACCTCCACTGTGAATATGGTACACGTGTGACCAAACTAAGGAGGTGTTGGTCTCAAATATGATGTTAAATCAACAGTAATGGCAATGTCAGCTCACATTTTTGAGTGTATACTTACTCAATGCAAATCTTTTAAAAGCTATTCACTCTCAGAACAAATCTGTTTAATGATGCAAAAAAATTTTATTTAGAGTTTAACAACATATTAGGGGAAAGGGGTCACTCAGATTTCACAGTCAGCACCAGGGGTGCACTTTCAACAGATCTGATGGTGTTTGAGACTTTACACTTGTAATTCCCAGCATCTTCTCTCTTGACAGGGTCTATGGTCAGGCTTCTGTGGTCCTCGGACAGCTTCATTCTCTCTGTGAGCTGAAGATTCATGCCATTGAACAACCACTGGGTAGAAATTTCATTTGAATAGCAGGTCATGACCACAGCATCTTTATTCTCTGTGACTGTGGTTTTGCTGGCTAGGAGGGTGGGCATACTCACAGGCTCTGTGGAGAAACAGAGAATATGACTGATTGAGAGTGGGCTTGGGACATGGAGCCATGCTGCTGCCTCAGAGATCTCCACCACTCACAGTCCACAGTGAGCTATGTAAAGGTCACCAGAGTATGGTCCTGACATTTGCAGAAGAACAATTGTATAAGTTCAGGTGACAATGTGTAAGGATAGAGCTGCAAATGCTCTCTGACCCCATGTAACCTCAGGGTGATTCCTTTTTAAGAAATATATATTTTATTGATTATGCTATGATAGTCATCCCATTTTTGACCCCTTTATTTCTCACTGTGCTGCACACCCCTCCCACCAGCATTCCCCAAACTTAGTTAATGTCCATGGGTTGTACATACAAGTTCTTTGGCATCTCCATTTCTAATACACTTCTTAACATACCCCTGTCTATTTTGTATCTACAAGTTATTCTTCTTACTCCCTGTACCATTCCCCCATTCTACTCCCTCCACCTCCCCTGATAACCCTCCATGTAATCTCCATTTCTGTGACTCTCTACCTTTTCTAATTGTTTGGTTACTTGTTTTTTGTTTTTTGTTAGGTTCAGTTGTTAGTTGTGAGTTTGTCGTCACTTTACTGTTCATATTTTCAATCATATTTTTCCTAAATAAGTCCCTTTAACATTTCATATAGTAAGGGTTGGATGATGATGAACTCCTTTAACTTGACCTTATTTGGGAAGCACTTTTTCTCCATCCTATTCTAAATGTTAGATTTGCTAGATAAAGTAATCTTGGATGTAGGTCCTTTCCTTTCTTGACTTTGAATACTATTTTCCAGCCCCTTCTTTCTTGCAAGATTTCATCTGAATATTCAGCTGACAGTCTGATGACTGTTAGTTATATACATCAGACTGACAGTCTGATGACTGTTGTTATATACAACTCCTTTGTATATAACTGTCTCCTTTTCTCTTACTGCTTTTAAGAACCTCTCCTTATCTTTAGTCTTGGGTAATGTAATTATGATATGCCTTAGTGTGTGCTTCCTTGGGTCCAATTTCTTTGTGATTCTGAGCTTCCTTGACTTCCTGGAAGTCTATTTCATTTCCAAGATTGGGAAAGTTCTCCTTCATTATTTTTTTAAGTAAGTTTTTAAATTTTTGCTCTTCCTCTTCTTCTGACACTCCTGTGATTTGAATGTTGCAATATTTAAGTCGTTCTGGAGTTTCCTAATTCTCTTCTCGTGTATTTGATTTTTTATTTCTTCATTCAGTTTTGGTTGAATGTTTATTTCTTCCTTCTGCTCCAAACATTTAATTCCCTTTCCTTCACAGTTGGTTTTCTGTACATTTTTCTTTATTTCACTTTGCATAGCCTTCACTTTTTCATAAATTCTGTGACACACTCAACTATTTCTGTGAGCATACTGATTATGAGTGTTTTGAACTCTTACCTGATAGGTTGGGTTCTCTTTCTCACTTAGTTCTATTTTTGGAACTGCGATCTGTTCCTTAATTTGATCAATATTTTTTTAGTCTCAGTGTGCCTTTTACATTGTAAGGGGCTAGGTTTTTGCCAAGGCAGAACAAGGCAAGTCTCTGCATTGTGGCACTGTACTGAGGAAGTGGTCTGACAGGAAACAGCGCCACTTGCTCGGCTCTTAGCCAGCTTTCTGCCACTTCCACTACTACCCATAAGCAATTTTGGCTCTTCTGGTGTTGGCACCCACATTACTGTGGGCCTCCCCAGGCTGCCAGCTGCTGTCTTGCCCACCCCAGCCTGCCAGCCTCCACCTAGCCCACACAGTCTACTAGCTGCCAGGCATGCACTCCACCCTAATTGCTCATCTTCATGCTTCCTACCAGTCTGAATGAATGATTCTTCTTTAACTCCTTGGTTTTGGGACTTCCATACAGTTTGATTTTCTGGCAGTTCTGGTCATTTTGTTTTGTTTTGTTTTGCTTTAAATTTGTTGTTGTCTTTCTTTTGGTTGTGTGAGGAGGCAAAGTATATCTGCCTACACCTCCATCTTGGCTGGAAGTCTCAGGGTGATTCCTTCACTGTTCCCTGAGACATCTCTGTAGTAGTAGCACAGAGATCCCCTTCCCAACACATATGTCCCATAACCTCATCTTTGGGTACAATTCTTCTCTTATGAGTTTTCATTGATAATTTTCTATACCTTTTTTTGATTTCACAAAACATCAGGTCTCACTCTTTATGTAAACTGTTATGTATGTTACGGAATGCAGGTTTGCCATATGTTTCCATCTCTGAGGACAGAGGTAGTTTATAGCAAGAGAAAGAGCATTTAACTTTTGTGAAATAAATTATTAAGCAGTACAGACGGCCCAAACCATTCTTCATGACTGTATACCTGGAACATTCTCATCTAAAAGAATTCTCAGTCTGAGCAACACTTTATTTCTTGGCCTACTGATTGAGTATCTTGGGAAATTTATCTCTAGAGAAAAGTGGTTATGGTTTTAATAAAGGCATTGACTATAGGAATAGAAGAAAACTATTCACTTTGATAAAAGCCATATAATATAAATTCCCACAGCTAACACGATATTTCATGAAGAAACTCAGAAATCTTTAATAATATCACTGAAAGAGAACAGAATGGTCTTTTTTCCCCCACATACTCAACATAGTACTGGAAGCTTGGACCACAACATTTATGCAAGAAGATGAAATGAGTTGTATCTAAATTGGTGAAAAAGAATAAAACTATCCTTTTTGAAAGGATGACATAATCTTATATGCACAAAACCCTAAAGTTTCTGACAGACATCACACACACACACACACACACACACACACTTCAAAATAACAAATAAGGGAAAGTTGCAGGACATAAAATCAGCATTAGCATCACCTTTGTTTTTGCAACAATAGTGAAGAATTTCAAAATAAAATTAAGAAATAATTTCAGTTATAATAGCACCAAATGACTAGAAGATATAGTAATAAACCTAATTAATAATGTGGGAAATGTTTATACTGAAGACTACCAAACAGTTTCTTAAAAATTAAAATAAGTACATATCAGTGGAAAAACATACACGTTCATCTATTCGAAGACCCCCAACTATCTTCATAAATGATACAATCACTATCACAAGCCCAAGGTCTTTCTGGCAGAAATAGAAAAATCCATCCTACATTTCATAAGAAATCTCAATGAACCCCAAATTGTTTAAATGATTTTTAAAAAGAAAAAATGAAGGCCTAAGGTAAAGGGCAATGTATGAACAAATTAATTGGTTTAGAAATCCAAAGATTCACTCATATGACCACAGAGGTAGAGAAGTTAAGTCTGTGGCTAAGGCAGACCTGGAGTGACTCTGATCAGCTGCTCATATTCTGTGCCACTGCTTTAGTGACTGTATCTCCCCATTTCTCAGTGTATTCTCAATGAATATCAGCTGCCAGGTTATCAGTGCACTAATTGTAAAACACACTATCTCACCTAAATCTTGGGATAAAGGAGCTGCTCAAATAAGAGGCAAGTGTTACTGATCAACTGCAAAATAGAATCTCCTAGGCTGATTCCTGGTGAGTGAGGAGCTTCCAGAAGCATCTTTCTTTTTTTCTCAGTTTCTTTCTGGGGATGCTGACCTTTTTCTGAACTTTCCTGAGAGCACCTACATAGTCAGCTAGGCCCCAGGGCAGTGTCTAATTGTCCCATCCACACACAGACTCAGGTGATAGACCAAACTCCATTTCTGCCAAGATGTGCCTCTTGGGCATGAGCCCTAATGGGTGACTGGCTCATGAGACTTGGGACTTGGGCACCCATTAAACTGTTACACACTCAGCTCTTCCGAGGAGGCCAAACCAAACCTGGCATAGGCTCCCCACAGTCCCTGGAGTCAAGATCTGTGGCACAGGGTTTGGGGAGGGGTTCTGGGCTGAGCTGTGTACAAAATTCAGGGGGCACCTCAGACCATGCTCAGAACTACTACATCAGGGTCATTCTCAGGGTCAAGTTCCTAGGCAGGGAGGGGCTCAGGGCACTGAACTGAGACTGGTCTCCTTGTGCTGAGTTACTTCTATCAGACTAATCCTTCTGTCTGCAGTGACTGTCTGCAGGGCTGCAAGTTGGTAGGGGAACCGAGATCTTAGGAAGTTTGTCTGCACTCTGTGTATCCTGCATTAAATGTCAAAATTCAACCTGAGACAAAGAGCAGAGGGCAATGCAGGTAGTACAAGCCACCCCACCCAACACCCAGCTGTCAGAAAATAATCACTCACCATATACATTAAGCTGTCTGTATCCTATTAGCGTTTTTAAAGGTGGACGTTCCAGTACTACGGTGTATATTCCTGTGTCATTCCTGGTGACATTCATTAACATCAAGGACCCATCATAACTTACGGTCACTCGTCCATATGCAGGACTTCTTATATGGTATATTGAGTTTTGGGTAAAAAATGCAATGATATGCTCTTCATTCACACCTTTCCCCCTGTACCATTTGAGGCTTGCAGCATCGGGAATCTCACTGCGGATACGTAGAAGAATATCTTCCCCTTCTGTAACATTCTTTGACACAATGACCAGTTGTTCTGTGGCAGGCAGGCACCAGAAGTTTAAGAGTGAGACTAGAAATAAAGAGAAATAATTTATTAATATTTGTATCTATGTTTGGAATGGAAAGATGAGGCCCTGAATCCTGAATAAGTCTCTATGTCTCAGCCTTGGTCTACACATCTGTGTGTCTCCCATGGTCAAGGTCAACAGCATGGCTCCCATTACTTCAGAACCTCTGAAGCTTTTATTTTTTCTGTTTCAAGTACTTTTCTCAAAGTGTTTGTCTTGCTCACCCCTTCACTTTTGACACCATTTTTAATACTCAGGAGCATTTTTGAAAGATACCTGTGCTGACTACTTTCTCTAAAGACTTTCTGCTTTCATTTTCTGGCCCTACTCTGAATTCTCATGGCAATTGTGGGTACCTACATTACATCTGGATTTTCTCTGGCCCTGTTTACTCTATGGAACATGGCTTTCTGATAGCAGGGCTTGTCTGCTCTTGTACCTCCAGTGACTGTGACAGACTGAAAATACATGGGGTTGAGTGAATAGGTGATCTCAGGGTCCTGTACCTCACTGGGGTTTTTGCCTGTATCTGAGGTTAGTGGTAAAACGATCTCTAGCACCCCTAGATAAATTTTCTCTGGTGTTTTCTGACATAAATTGATATTATTATCAGTTTTGATCATTCAAAACTCCATGATGTATAACAAGAAATGAAAAGCAATTGAGGGCTTTTTCTGCCTCTCACAACATCCAGGTTATGACATTTACCTCTTGCTGAGCCCCCTTCCTGAACCTACTCTGTTTCTTTCTTCTTCACCCTCAGGTCCAAACAGAAACCTTCCCTCTTTCTTCAGAGCACTGGTCTCTTCAGCCTCTTTCTTTGTCATACCCTTAGTCTATCCCAAGGAATTGTCTCCTACTTACCACCCAGAAGGAGTCCTTGCCAGTGGACAAGTCCTCTGTGAGAACAGAGTGAAAGGGACCCCATGATGTCTGCTGCTTCCTCTGTGGCTGTCTTTGAGAAAATCCTGAGGTTCTGTAAGGCTCACAGGCACCTCTGTCCAGAGTGGTGCAATCTGCTGTGTGTACTACCTGTGCCCTGAGCTTTATTCTGGGGCATGTTTACTATTTTTGTCATGTGAGCTGGGGGCCGGGTCTAGGCTCAGGATCCTCCCATTCCATGCCCTCATTATTGCTGCTCTTTTTTTTCTAACCAGTTCTGCTCCCCTATACACTTGTTCCCTGAGAAATCTGAGGTCTTTCAACACCGCACAAATGCATAGGCACACATACACACAGGCACATTTACACACACACACTTGCATATGAACATATAGACACAAAAACTCTCTCTCAAACTCAGGTTGGCAAAGTACAAACCTGGTGTGTCTGGTTTTGGCATTTCCACAGAGCTTCCTGACAGGTGTACATTGGCTTTTCCCACATCCCTGTCTCTTTCATGTTTGACTTTTCCCTTCAGAGCAGGAGTTCTTGAGCTAACTCAGAAAACCCTGCCACAAGGATGTCACCCCTCCTGTACATTGGATCACCTTTGAAACTTTCAGCATCATGATGACCAAGTGACACCTAAAATATGAAACTTCAGCAGCTGTCCTGCTGTTGTGGGGTGCCTACTCAAAATGAGATGTCTTGATGTAAATGGAGAACTACTTCTGTTCTTCTGTGCACAAGGAAGTCTCCAGATCCTTTTAAACCTCAGATTCTGATGGGGCAGGGCTGCAGTGCATCAGAGACTCTGCAAATTACAAACTCTCAGTAGAGGTTTTTAAGGTACACTTGTGAGTGCAAGGCTGATGTGTCAACCTCTATTCCTGGGAGGATTACTCACTCATGCTAACATGAGCCTCTGTCATGTCTTGGTCTTTGGTATGTTGGCACTGCAAAAAGACCCCTGGGTATCTTTAAAGAATGGGGATTATTTCATTTGTGACACAGGATACCATCTGGGGATCCAGGCTGCTTGGTGTTCTCAAATGCTCTGAGAAGGTTTTATTTCCTCCAAGCAGGAGGGTCACAGAGATGAACCTGAGGGTTACAAGGGGTCAAGTCTTGTAATACTTGCAGAGGGCACTTTTATTCTATTTCAGGTTGTCACCATACTTGATTTTTCTTCCAGAAACAAAACACTCAAAACCAGAAGACTAAAAAGGACCTGCAGTTTGGGGTGTGACATGGGAGGTGACCTGTGTGTCCCAGGAAGAAAGGACTGGGGTGAAAGGTCTGGTGCCTGTAGGCTTCCTGATGTGCAAGAGATAGTTTCAGCTAGACCTTTCCTTTCCATGTCCGTTTGTGGGGCCTGTCCTTGTGCTCCCTGGCTGTTTAGAAGACATCTGATTTCTATCTGGGAGTCTTTCTTGTGGTCACTAGACTTGCCCATGAATGATGCCAGTCATGGGGCAGAGAGCAGCACAGAAACTCCTGAGAGAGGAGGTGCTCAGTGGCCCTAAGAAAAAAAAAGGTGCTAATCTCTACAGCAATTTAATGAGTTTATCTGAGTAAACCTGACCTCATACGCCTGGGGCATGTCTCAAATCCTGTGAAGAAAGGCAGTTTTGCAGCCTATTTCACAGATTAAAATCAAGGTAGAAGGTGGACAGAGTTGCATCAAATCCATTAGGAGATGAGAGAAAACATAGCAGGGAAACTCTAGAACTGAAAAATAAAAGTAAAATTGAGACACATATATTTTACACTGGTAGGTATAAGACAATTAACATTTACAGGACACAGAGAAGGGGTACAGGGGACCAGACAACATAAAGGATGCTGTGATCTCATACACTTGTCCCAGAATCTGTGCCTTAGAAAGGTCCACTACACAAAATCACTCTGATGTGTCAAACTTATGCTGTCCAAGAGGAAAAGAAAAAGAAAAGAGGTCAGGGCTCACTGAAGGTAAAGACCCAGCTTTGCTAAGGAAAATATATGCCTAGAATGAAACAACCTGCCATCACCTGCCCAGTTAGAAATGTGTGATCAGAATATCCCCTGAAGGTTTTCAAGCCTGCAATGGAAGTCATTTCTGTGCCCCTGTCTGCTCACAAGGCCCAGGAACTGGAGCATCTCCACGTGAATTAACACTCAAACGGGGGCCCTGTGGGTTCTTCTGTTAGGGGAGGAAAGGTTCTCCTAGAAACCTCAGCCCCTCTGAGATGGAAGCAGCCACAGATTCTGGGTTCTCCTGTCCTGTTCTGCACAGGAGGTTCCCTTTGTTCCTCAGGACACCATGAACTAAACAGATGACTTCAGAACGAGCAGGTAGGAATCCCCTAGGAATTCTAGGAAAGAAGTCATCCCTGATTCCTATAACGTCAGAGCATGCTCCTTCCTCCCCTGGCAGTAACTCTTTCAGGGATTCAGAATCCAGAGTTTCTCTCCAGTGAGGTCTCTGTGAGAACAGGAAAAACACAGGCCCTAGGTAGCAAGACCTAACCCACAAGGTGAGACTGTGGAGGGCTGAGATTATGGGGGGAATAAAGTTTGGTCCTACCCTCACTATTAGGAGGGTCCTTTCCTTCCTCCTGAATGCACAAAAAGTAAAAGCCTGATGCAAGGATGTCCCCAAGCATGTGGTGACATCCTCTCATGCTGACACCAGTGCCTTGGTGTGGGTAAGAAACATCATTGGACTGCAAGTGTCACCCAGGGTGACAGGCTTCCATTGTGTGATTTACTTTATGGATTCAATGAGTATTTATAGAGTGTCTGTGATTTTCCAGGTTCCTGGCTTGGACCTGGAAACTCCAAGTAAATTGACACACATGTGGGCCCTGTGCTGACTGAGTTTGCCCTGTAACAGAAAAGGCTCTCAGATAAATCATGGCTCTAGGGAGTCAATTATAATTCAGTGAAGGGCTGTGATCAAAAACTTCTGGTGCATAAAGAGCAGGTTCTTGAGTCTCAGTTGGTGTTGGGATTCTAGAGACTCTTCTGAGAAAGGACCTCTTGCTGAAACCTGGTGAGTTAGTGGCCATTTTCCCCTTGAAGAAAAAAGACTACTAAAAAATGTTGCCTGCAGATGATTGACCTTTGGTGGGCTGACATCGCCTGGATGGAGTAGCAGATGCAGTCCACTGTGGGGAGTTTGGAGGGCTAGCAAGACTGTGGAATGATTGATACTGGTGAGGTTGGGCCCTGCTGTGCTGTGGGTGCCTCTGAGATGTGGTTAGGGGTGCCCCTGAAGGGCTCCAACCTGCAGAATAATTCTGCCGCCCCCTGATGGACAAGCCCAAACTTGGCAAGAAAATGCCTTGTACAGTTAATTTTTTTAAGTTTCATACTTTCTATTCAATGTATACTTTAGGCAATATGTCATATGTGTATGTATAATTTTATATAATCTTACTGGATTATTTTTGAATATAATATGCTTAACATAGTGAAAGTATACAGTTCATGAAATTTTCCTAGATGCATGAACTAGAGAGGTTGTACAATGAAAAAGGGACCACGTCTCTTACTACTAAAGTTTTCTCATGCCCTCTTCTAATCCCTTTATCTTCATCTCTTGACATCTCTTTTTAGTGTTAAGGAAACTCTTATTAGCTTTGCTTATTCTAAAGGGATTTATATTAGTATAAATATATTCAAATCCCTTTGCATTTTCTGCAATTTTTATAATTTTATGCTAAAATATGCATTTTAGCCTATATTGCCTTTTGGATTAAATTCAAGTATTTTGCAATAGTTCTTTCTTTTAATACCCTAGTTATACCTCATTCCAGGGATGTATTAATTTTGTTTCTTTATTCACCTTTTTGTAGACATCTGTGTTTTTTCCTATTTCCAACAAGTAAACCTGCCAGGAGCATGTGCTCAGCACGGTCTTTAACATAAACGAATCAGTGCTTGTAAAATTATGAATATGTAGAGAAATGAAAGGTTGGGAGCTATCCCTTGAAGTCTGGTCTCAAGATAACATGGCAACAGCCCCACCCAGAGGTACAGAAACACTTGCTTCTTCACATGAAGCTGTGTCTGCCACAGCCCACCTATTAGTCAACACAGTAACAGAAATAATGGCCCCATCTCTCTTCCAACTTCTGAATTATGAACCAGTGCACCTCAGAAATGGCATTTATTTCACATCTGGATTCTCAATCACTAGGAATAGGGGAAGGGTGGTATTTAACGTTTCAGTCACTTTGATATAACAGGAAACCTAAGAATAATGAAGGATATATACCAGGTGCCCACAGACCACACATGACATGTCTCAGTCCACCTGCAGGCTGTGTGACTCTGGGTGAGTGACCTCACCTCAGAAAGCATCAGTTCCCTCATGTGATGTCATAAAAATATGTTTGCTCTTCTTTCTTGGATTTTAGACAAGGACAGCTAAAACTCCTGGAATTTTCTAAGTGATGTGGGTGCTAAGAGTGCCTTTTGTTGTGATGAGGCAACTCTTGGCAGGCCTCTGGGTAGTTGCAGAGTGAGGGCAGGTCACCAGAAACACCAAGTGCTGATCAAAAGATTGAAATTTTAAGCTATGAACAGAGGAATGTTTCAACTTGAAGAGAATTTTCAGGAGTCTTCTTAAACCAAACACAATGATAACTGCAAGAAAGAAAAATCTCAATGGATTAAGAAAATGTTCTGAAGAATGGTAATTTTGCCACTTATTTTATACAGAACTGTCAAAGGCAGAGGCCTAAGGGGTGATATTTAATCATTTGACAGTATATTAGGGGAGGGAGAGAATGAAAAGTACAGAAATCTCTGAGATTGGGTCAAATATAAAACAATTAGACACATACGATTGTTAGGCTGGTTGGTACAGAATCGTCAGTAGTTAACAATGAACACAATAACCACAGTAATGAGAGGGTGTGTGGTCTCTGCTCTGGTGCAGTGAGGGGTATGGAAAAAGGAAATTACCCTGACATTTTAAAGGCATGTTAAGGTAGAGGCCGATAAATAATAACACAGTCAGTTAAGGCAAAATGATTGACCTTTGTCAGGAAAGATACAAGCCTAGGACATGACTACCCACCATGACTCACTTTGGGTTAAGAGATTTAATTTCAGACCACCCTATGTGCTCACCTCAGGTCTCT